AGATCCACCCAGACCCCAGCCCCACCAGCGACTTGACCAGGCTGTGAAGGGCTGTTAATTATACCTCCAGTTCAGGCGTAGGGCCAGAGCATGCAACCACGACCCAATTTTGTGCCCAAATGCTCCATTCTGCTGCTTGCTTGATTATATCACATACACAGGTATCTTTATAGGGTTTCCCACAAATCTAATTTACTTACTTAAAAACTGAAAGCAGCTGGGGCTAGCAGGTGCCATGTGGCTAGCTGCCAGGGCGCCTGAAAATCGGGCCAGGCACATGTGCTAGGAGCCCAAATTCCAAGATGAGCCCAGAAGACAAGGGATTGAGAAGTGACCACCCCCCCCCCCAGGGAATGCTTTCTCACTTTCCCTCCCTCACCCTCTGATGAGCACACATGCCGAATAACAAAAGCATAAAAACAAACACACACAAAGTATAAGCAGCAAATTAAGAGACTGACAAGCCCTGGGAGCAGCCAGTGGCGTGGTGGTGGAGATGGCTGGATACCACCATATGGCTGACTGCCCAGTTTGAGTCTCAAGACCAGTGGCTTGAAAACATGCCAGGTGCCTGTGTGTTCGTGCCCACTCCCCATGGGGAGGATGCTTTCTCACTTTCCACTCTTTCTCTCTGTCAAGCGCACACACCCTCTGTCACGTTAAAAAGAAAAAAAATCGAGAATCCTACAAGTCACACACAACCCATAAACAAGGAGCCAACTGTCCTGATAAGGAACTCTAGATTATTTCATAGGACATACTGCGAAAAAGCAGGGTTGGGGGCCAGCAGGTGGCATAGTGGTTAGGGTGTTGGATCCCATGTGGTCCATGGCCCTTAAAAATCATGCTATGCACACGTGCAGGACTGCCTAAAATCCCGAGAGGGGAATGGAGAAGGGACTACAGTGTGGCCATCCACTCCTTCCTTTCTTTCCCTCTGTCTCTCTCCAGGGAGCACATACACCCTAAGGCAAAAACCTTTAAAAAAAAAAAAAAAAAAAAAAAAGGGAAACCCATAGGATCCCAAGGTCCAAGAATTATTTATACCCTGGAACAGCAAGGTTGAAAAGACACCTTTCTCTGGAGAGTCTTACATAGGTGTTTTTTGTTGTTGTTGTTGTTTTTTTGGGGGGGGAAGGTGCAGTTTGATAGAAGGTATTAAAAGGAAAAATGTGTTGTGGTGACCGCCCTCCCTGAAACCTACCTTAAATTTAATTAGAAACATGCATGCACAGTGGATGCAGTGATGGAAGTTTACTTTTTTTCCTGTATACATTGTTCTCTACTACTGAGGGGAGATAACAACAGACATGTTCATTAAAAAACAAACAAACAAAAGATACACCATTTTCCTGGCACTGCTTTCTCACTTCCCAACACATTATCCTACTCTCTGTAAGCGCCCAGAGGACACGCCACAGCTTCTCCCAGCTGACCCGCATTTACATCGTTTCCAGATACTCAAAAACCAAACACCAGAATAAAGTCAAGTACTCCCATACAAGTGCGTTTAATTTTAGAAAAAAAAATACTAATTTTTATTTATTTATTTTATTCTGACCAGAGAGGGTCAGAGCAAGACAGATAGAGCAGGTTGCCAGGTCCAGCACTCAAACCATGATCATGCCCGCCTGCCGGACCCTGATAGTGCTTTTCACTCTAATCAAATAGGTTCCCCAAAGAGATAGTACAGGAGTACTTTGCCAAAAACTTGCAAGTTGTGGGGCCAGCAGGTGGCCTGGTGGTTAAGGGTCCACATGGCTGACCGTACGTTAAGTTCTGGACCTGACTGGCTTTCTCACTTTTCCTCTCTTTCTCCTCTCTGGTCAAATTAAAATAAGTAAATAAATAAAGTTACATAAAATAGTTGTTTTGTTTTTTTTTAATGGAGAGGTTTTTGCTATAGGCGCGTGCGCTCACCAGAGAGACAGAAAGAGAGAAATCGCCCCCCAGGGGGGATGGCCACGCCACAGTCCCTTCTCCATTTTCCTCTCGGGCTCATCGGCACGCACGCACACGCACCCAGCATGAGTTTAAGCCACCAGGTCCGGGACTCAAACTGCGGTGGACTACGTGGGAGTCCAGTGACATAGCCATTACACTAACTGCTGGTCCCCCCATAAAATAGTTTTTAAAAATTATTAAAAAAAAAAAAAAAGTTGTTAGTTGTGCCACTCGTATTAAAACAATGAACTGGGGCCTGTAAAGAGCCAGATCCCATATGGCCAACTACCATTAAAATTCCAGCCCTGCCAGCTAGGAAAAACCACCAGGGCGCATGTGCATGCATTCCCGAAGCCCTGAAACAAATGGAAAAATGGAGAAGTGACTGCAGCGTGACCATGCTCCACTGGCGGGGTGCTTGCTGTCTCTCCCAATTGCCAGCACTCGCCCCCTCTGGCAACTGAGAACACTGAACTGGTCCCCCTGCCTCCCCTTCAGTACTGGATGTTTTATCACTCTCGGAGATTTTTGCTGTCAGATCAGAGAGGAAAAGACAATTTAAAAAGCCGCGACCTCTGTGCCACCACCCTCTGATATGCACACTGGGCCACCTACCCAGTGTTTCTCTGTGTTTCCCTCCTATTTGGCCTCTGGGTTTCCTGGCTTTCTCAGGAAGGTGCCTTTTCTTTTTGGAGAGATTTTTGCTCTAGGGCACGTGTGCTCGCCAGAAAGACAGAGACAGACAGAGACAGAAAGCGAGATGTCACCCTCTGGGGGGATGGCCATGCTGCAATCCCTTCTCCTCCATTCTCCTCTCGAGATCTTGGGCACGCATGCACACACACCCAGCATGAGTTTAAGCCACCGGGTCCAGGACTCAAACTGTGGTCAACTACATGGGAGTCCAGCGACATAGCCATTACACCAACTGCTGGTCCCCTCACGAAGTCTCAATTTAACCTCAAGATAAATAAATTACATTTTTTTCTCATGGTGTTTTGCCTTTTTTTTTTTTTAATTTTAATTTCCTGGAATTAGGGCTGGAAGGTGGTGTGGTAGTTAAAAGCACTGGATCCCCACATGGCCGACTGTGGTTCAAATCACAGACCTAGTGGCTGGCTTTCTCCCTTTCCCTTTCTGTTTCTCTTTCCGGTAAAAATTTTTTAAAATGATAATAAATGGAATTAAATAAATAAATCTTAAAAAATTAAAATTTCCTGGAACTTAGTACAGGTAAGAGGAGGTAGGGATCTTTCTTTTCCAGAAATCTATAAAATAAACCATAATTTCCCTACCAAAATGACATGCTGGTCTGACGATCCTTTCTAAGTCTGAAACCCAAAAGGCTCTGGAAAGTCATTTCCCCCAAAACTCAGCAAAGCAGGAGTTGACATTACAATTTTATCCCAGTTCTTTTTTTTTTTTTTTTTAACTGCCAGAGGGTACGTGTACCTGCCAGAGAAAGACAGAGACAGAGAGAGGCAAAGAAAAAGGACTTTCCTCCATGGGGCATGGTCAGGGCCTCAGTCCCGTCCTCATTTTATCTCATGGGAATCTTGAGCACATATTCACACACTCAAAGTATTTTTCAAGTCTCTGGGGCTGGGATTCCGACCACGGCCGGCCATGTGGGATCCGGCTTCCTTAACCACTAGGGTCCAGGGTCAGTCGAATACACTGCCTTTACTTATTACACTTATCCAAGACACTTTTAGAATTATTGATGATTCAGCTATAAAACATGAGGTTAGTGATTATGCCATACTTATTTTTTTAAAGTCTATTTGTTCTATGAGTGAGAGAAATAGAGACATAGTACTCATGACAGGGTTTGACACCAAGATCCACGCCCAACTCACACCCAGCCCTGGATCATGGGAATGCCTTGTGCCTGGCAAACTCGGAGGTCTCGATGCAAACCTGGAACCTTCCCACTCAGATCTGTCTTGCAAGGCAACACATTTTGCCTCTGCACCACCACCTATACTCTTTCCAAAACCCCCAAATTAAGAAACATTGGGCTCTGGGACCAGCAGATGGCACAATGGTTAGATCACTGGACTCCCATGTAGTTGACCACAGTTTGCATCCCAGGTGTTTGTCCAAGATCCCAAGAAGAGAAGAGAAGAGGGGACTGCAATGTGGCCATCCCCCTAAGGGTTAACTTCTCACTTTCTGTCTCTCCATAAGTGCATGCACCCTATAGCAAAAATCTCTTAAAGAAAGAAAAGAAACACGGGCCCTGAGGTTTCACAGATAGGACCTGTACTAACTTTAACAAACATTAAGTTCTGAAATATACTAAGATCCTTTGCTAGACTCTATTCTAGTTCTACTGTTTTAATGGTGTAAGTTTTGTAATAAGCTTTATTTTATTTTATTTTATTTTTGGAGAGTTTTTTTTGTTTGTTTTGCTATATAGGATGCTTGCCAGAAAGACAGAGACAGAAAGTGAGAAATCAGCCCTCGGGGGGACAGGACGGCCACACCTCAGTCCCTTCTCCATTCTTCTCTCGGGATCTTGGGCATGCATGCACACGTGCCCAGCCTGAGTTTAAGCCACCGGGTCAAGGACTAGAACTGCAGTCGACTACGTGGGAGTTCAGCGGTGTAGCCATCTGCTGGTTCCATGTAATAAGCTTGAATATCTGCTAAAGCAAGCCTCTGCACTCATTACTGCCCTTTTTGTAATCTCCTTGGCTATTGCCAAGACTTTATTTTGTAATGTGAAACTTCAAAATAATTTTATTAAGTCCCCCTTCCCAATCTAGATTTTTAACAGAATTGCACTGTCTGCATTAATTTGGGGAAAACTGGTTTTCCCTGTTTTTTTGTTTTTTTGTTTTTAATTTGTCAGGGGACATATTTGCTTATGAGACAGAGACAAATGGAGAAAGCACGCCGAATGTGGGGTGCTCTCTCCTCCATTTGCCCATCCTGTTAGAATGTTGGGCTTGCACACATACCT